CTCAGGGGTCGTCTGTCCCTCAGGGGTCGTCTGTCCGTCAGGGGTCGTCTGTCCGTCAGGGGCCTGTGCCCTCCGCCCCCCCACCACCGGGAGGCCCGTTCGTCCCTCAGGGGTCGTCTGTCCCTCAGGGGTCGGCGCCCTCCGCCCTCCCCGCCCGTCCAGGTACCTCCCGGGCTCCCCCGGCCGTTGACGGTGCTCCAGCCCCACAGGCCCGAGGACCCTCCCACGTCAGGAGCCCCCTCCTCGCTTCCCTGACGGTCCGCTCCGAGGCCATCTCGGCCGCAGCCCGCCTGGCAGCCCGCCGGCTCCGACCACGCCGCTGCCGCCTCCTCGCCTCGCGGTCCTCCTGGGGCAGGGCCGGCGCGCGCCGCGAGGGAGGGCGGGCCGTTACCTGGACTGCGGGCCGGCGCCCTGTGCGAAGCCGGAAGAGCGGCCCGCCGCCACCTTGGCGTCTTCCCTGGGCCGGCGGCCGCTGACGTCACCGGCCCGCCCCCTCCTCTGGCCCCGCCTTCCTCTTCCCCAAGCCAGTGAGGGTCTCTGCTCAAGCCCCGCCCCACATCAAGCCCCGCCCCTGCAGCGAGTCACGCCCCTCGCTCGGAGCTCCGCCTGGCCTTCAACCACTCAGATAAGCAGTTCTCAGCTGAAGCCCCGCCCCATGACAAGCCCCGCCCCTTACTTGGAGCCCCGCATTCCCTTTAACCACTTTAATTGAGGGTCTCCTCTCAAGCCCGCCCCTTACCCAGAGCCCCACTCAAAGCATCTGGCCTTCTGACTATGCCATATTACAAGAGGCTTGGAGGAAAAAGTACTTTTGCCAAGGATGGCAGGGGTGTGTTCTTTTGCCCTCCCCCGCCCCCCCCCTGTATGACCCAGGGCTAGTTAATTCTTGGACAGGCACCATGGAAGCCCCGGGTGCCAAAGGAGCCCCACGGGTGATTTAAACGAATGGCATTCTTCCGTGTCTCCATGACCGTGTGTGGCCACTAGCGATGGTCTGGCTGGTCTGGCAGGTGTAGCTCTCTCACCATGCCCTGGCCAAAGCCCAGCGAGGTAATTACACATGGCCCCCCTCCAAGGCCCCGCGGTTCTAATTAGGCGATGAAGGCAGCGTCTGCTGTACAAAGGCAGCTCAATCCCCTGTTCTCTCTGGATTGCACAAACCCCGTCTCCTGTGAGGATTTCCAGGACCTGGCTGGTCCACACAACAGCCCTTGGAAGGGCGTCCAGTCGGCTCCCACCACTTTGCTTGTGTAAAGTTGCCGTGGACCTTGACGTAGTGGCTCCGGGGGACTTTTTCTCAAGGGAAAGGCACCTTGGAGGTCCAGGCTCCTGGTGGCCTTTGTTCACAGTATGTTTGTTGACCATCCATACATGACCTTGTTCTCCGAGTTTGGCTCAGTCACCTCCTTTAGCGTGCGCTTTTATTCGTTAGCATTGCGCTCTCGGCCAGCAGCGTAACTCTTCCTGAACAAAACAAAACTTCTTTGACCACATACTGCCCCTGGGAGGCACGTCGCAGGAGGCACTTCCACACTGGCCGGGGCCAACACAAAGGGCAGGGAGATGGCAAGCCCCTAGTCAGAGGCGGTGGCTTCAGCACCGCGGACAGCTCCAAGGCACTGTCCGTGGGAGGAGCTGCCGCTCCACAGACCCCGGACCATCCAGGCAGGCCGCTCTGCCCCAAATGCCTCTCTCTGTCCTCTGTCCATTAAACTCCTACTCGCTCCTCAGAGCCCAGCGCACATCGCCCCACCCCATCCCACCCCAGGAGATCCTCCCAAGGGCCCTGTCTCTGAATGAATGCCAACTCCTGGGACCTCCTGCCTCTCCTACCTGAGGGGATTCTGTGAGACCACAGGCTGCTGTTTCGTGCCCAGCACTGGGCTCCAGGGCTAGCCTGCGTCTCCCTGCCATCAACGCAGTGTCCTTTCTGACAGTTGCATTCCCTTCACCCAGGACCTGGGAAGTCCAGGCCTTGTGCTCAAGGCTCTGGGCCCTTCCTTCCCCAGCAGGCTCTTTGGGGGCAAGGTGCCCTACTGCTGCCTGGTGCAGAGAGGGAGGCCCGAGTGTTCCTGATGTCCACGCTCAGGCATCCTGACTGCACACTGTGGTTGGAACATGGCTCATGTCCCCCAAGGCTCCAAGTGGATTGAAGACTCGGTCCCCAGGGTGGTGCTATTCAGAGGTGCAGAGACCTTGGGAGCTGGAGCCTAGTGGGAGGTGGAGCCTAGTGGGAGGTGGAGCCTAGTGGGAGGTGGAGCCTAGTGGGAGGTGGAGCCTAGTGGGAGGTGGAGCCTAG